TTTTTTTTTTTTTTTTTTTTTGTATTTAATCATCTTATAATAGGAGTATAATAACTCCACTTATGTAGATTTCTTTGAGTTTGATCCATTAAAGGGAAAACGAAAAGAAAATTTATTATCAAAACTCGACCCCAATTACTCCAATTAAAAAGTGATGAATTCTCATTTTGCACTTTCAACTCTACTTTCTTTATAATTATCCTCTGTTCGGTAGTCGGATAGGGGTAAGGTCTACGTACACTTTATCCTTTCCAGATTTCACTAGTAAAATTATTGCTGGGTTGATGTTGTTATTGTTTCTTTACAATTATGTTTGGATAATAAATTTCTTTAATGGTTAAAAATAATACTACCAAAATTTGAAAATTTGATGAGTTTAATTAGTGACTATTGGAGTTCTTCAAAGTTATGAAAGTATTATAAATACAAGAAAATATGTCGGCATCTTTTTACTTCTAAATAAACAATTTGTCAAATAAAATAACATAGCTGAAGTATTAACTATTTACTTTATGTATAATTTAGTCAAAATCAAGCACCCTCCCCCGGCCACCCTTACTGCCGAAATGCTGTAATATCAATGGAAAATAATGTCAAGTCTCAAGCCGGCTATATTATTATCTGTTGTTTTATTTGCTTCAGTTATCTTATTGCTTTATTATTTTTAATACGACTTCTTAACTATTATTTTTCTTTTTCAAACCATCTTTGAAATGTTTTTCTTGAGCCGAGGCTGTTTCGAAAACAATTTTTCTTCTTTCACAAAATAGGGATAAGGTCTATGTATTCACTATCTTTCCGAGACCCCAATTGTGAAAACACGTTGGTATATTATTGTTGTTTTTTTAGTGGTACCTACCTTAAGATATTGTTAGCAGGTCTCCTAAGTCCTAACAAAACTTTTGAAAAAAATCAAGAGTTTTTTGTTATATATTACTTGTGGTTTTGCTTGTGGCCAGCCACCCACAAATAGGAGAATGGGTCCCTGCATTATATCTCACGATTAATATGGTGATCAATGTCAACTAAAAGTTAAATTTAGAAAAAGTAGAAGAATAACTTCTATGTCATTCGATGTGATATATTTTTCTTTTAATTTATTTTTTTTAAAAAGATATTTTTGCTTTTATTTTTAGACATAAGGTCAAATACATTGATGACAAGCCATCAAACTTGGTAAAATGTCTTCATCTCAGCCAAGCCATTTGAACATCCGATCATGTATGCTCTTTTAAACCATTTAATATCAACATTCTTATAGGAGTTTGCATAATTAATTTATTGTGGATGCCATTAAAGTATTACTCTTGATAGTTTATGTATACTTAATTAGTGTCAAAATTTATATCTGATTTTTGAATTATGTCCCTATCAAATAGGATCAAATACGGAGTGTGGGCTGATTTATGATGAGGTTTTACTTATCTCATGGCAATCATTTAGAAGGGTTTCTTTTTATATATTAATATATTTGGTATTTGATATTTATTGACTCGCTAATTTAGTTTGATATCGCGTAAAATCAATTGAAGAGACAGTGTTTTTTACCAAAAATTTATCTATTCTCAAAGCTCGAACGTAAATCGCTTATTAAGGATGGATGATTCTATCCATCTACACCTTTAAGTGGTCATTAATTGGGAAGGTACTCAGTACACTTTTTCCCTATGTAAGGTTTTGTTTTTCGACTCAAACATTGTTGTTTTCTTTATTAGCTTTTGTACGCGATCATTCATAACATCAACACGGTTATTTGTCTTGGTAGCAAGTGTTTTTCCTTTAACAAGATCTTATGTGGCACAAATCCGAATTCGTTTGGAGGGAATCTCCATACGTATTAAATTAAATTATAGATCCTCCTTACGTGCTTTATTAATTGCTTGGTCTAAGGTCATGTGAGCCATTTTTCTCCTTATAACATGGTAAAAGAAAGATGAATTTTCATAAATTATTATAATTTAGAACGTAGTAACTATAATTTGCCAAATTACCATTCATAACTACTATTCAATTGTTACCGTCAATTGTATTTATTCGCGCAACGAATACAAGATGTAAATTCAAACGCGCAAAGAATACAACCAAGACGAAATACAGAAATACAGAAAAATAAAATGCTATTGCTGAGAGTTAAACTCAAGACCTCCACTAAGCAAATGCTCTAACCAACTAAGGTATGAGAACTTGTTGCTCTCTTATTTCAATTCAAAATAATTAATCTCTTATTCATGAATTTGCTATAAAATTTAAATATCGCTACGAATGACAAATTTACTGAAAATATAGTTACAAATAATAAATATAATGTATATGCTTGACGTGTTGCGTACCAATGAGCAGTGTTGATGGGACAATTGCAAGATCTGTAAGGCCATAGGTCGGCCTACTGACCCAAATAACATGAGAGGCCCATAATTGCAAGACTGCTATAGACATAACTTAACTTCATTGACAAGAGAGTACGGATCCGGAAAGCCACATGTTCATGAGTGATTTGCACAAATTGGACACTTCGGTATCACTCTTATTTTTTAGATTACGCTCGTCTCATGGGTCGAACTTCAAATTTAATAAGTGTTTTCCTCGCTTGCTCTATTAACAACAATTTTTTTCTTTTGACCTTAAAAATTTGCCCATGAAGCAAGGAGGGGTCAAAAAATCAAGATCATTTATTTTTAAGGTCATTAGATATAATTTCCTGCATGTTTGTACCATAACATTTTAGCCTCAGAAAATATGTAATTTGAAAAAAGCTACTATTAAGTTCTCAAATTTCTTCCAAATATCAAGCACTTCAAAGACTACACCAAGCCCTACTTGATTATATGTAGGTCTTTCTTATTAATCATTTGATGGGATGATTATTGTTTGTGGTACAAGGAGTACAATGATTGGGCTTGTTGGGCCCTAGAATTGGATGGTTGATGTTCTGAAAGGGTTGGATCAGTGTGAGGGGCGGATTTAGGTCCTTTTTACGGTGCATGTGAACACTTGGTTTTTCCATTACTATGTATATATTTTGTAAAATTGATCTAATATAATATGTTGGCCCCAATACTCCAAAAAAGTTAAATAGTACATCTAATTGAATGCCGAGTTATTTATCCAAAGGAACATGAATTGATTCTCACTTAGTACTTTTTTCTTTCCTCACCTTTTCAGTGGTGCACATATATATTAGAAAATTCTGCATTCGCCTCTGATTAGTGTGACACAAATAGTCTACCAGTATTATCATTCTTTTTTTCTTTTAGTTAATTGTTCTTTTAGCATAAGATCGATAAAATATAACACACGAAATTGAAAAATAAAACACAAGAGTTTTTTGTAGTCACGTTCTTCTATTCAAAGCTTACTTTAGCCGAAGGTCTTTCGGAAGCAGCCTCTCTACCTCACAAGGTATGGGTAATACTTGCGTACATACTATCTTTTCCATAGTCAACTTGTGGGAATATTTTGGGAGAAATTCAAAAATAGCCAGATTTACAAGTGGTCATTCAAAAATAGTCATAGTTCAAAAGTCATCGAAATTTAGCCACTCTTCATGTAAAGATAAATCTGAACGAAAACACTGTTCAAAATCCGAAAAATGCTCTAGCTACTATGCATCTATTAAAGTGCCTTTTTCCCTAGTATATTATACTGGAGCCATCAAAGTATACCGGTCCAATATAATATGCTGGAAGTTCATGCACAGGTGCACCGAACTCCAATATATTATGCTGAACCGGTCTCTATTGCAGCAAAATAGTAGCTATTTTTCAATGACTTGGCAAACGCTGGCTATTTTTGAATGACCAATCCAAAAACTGGCTAGACCGTACTATTTTAGCGAATATATTGGGTATGTTGTTATCTTCTTATATTCAAATTGTAATTGATTATAGGAGATAATTTCCTCTATTGCTTATAGGAAATTGTATTTGGCGTTTGTTGAAAATTTAAAAAACCGGAGTTCCCAAATGTTACTTTTGAACTTTTTGCAAGCCGTATTTTTTTAGTTGCTTTTGCAAAAATTTCCAAATTCCAAATCTTTCAAAAACACCATAAATGAATTGGTTTTTGAGTTTTTAGAAGATTAGATAAGCTGGAGTTTGGGAATCTTCAAAAGAAGAAAAGAAGCTAACTTTCTTTACAAAAATAACTCAAACAAATACATATTACAAATTTGATTTGGTAAATTTTTCAAAGAAACACCACCTTTGACATGTTCAATAATGCAATCATTTGATAAGGGCCCAAAATCATTGGCTGTTATTAATGAATTAAGCAGTACTTCAATTCAGAGTACTTCCTTCCCCACAAAGTTAACCAATAATATATACATCTATATGGGTATCAAATGAGAGATAAATTGTTTGGGTAATATTTTTGACGAGTTGATTTTGTGTCGGTAGTGGGTCATACTTCAACTTGTTTAACTCGTGATTTTATTTTTACAAATCTACTTATCCAACCCGCTCTTTGATTAATAAAATCCAACAAGTTTATCGCTTTTTGATGATGCAGATTTCTAATAGGCATATAAAAGTGTACGTCAAAAAATATCCAACCTTATCATCAAGTAGAATAATATCACATATACATTTCAATCTCCCCTCGCTTCTCTCTCCACATATATATAAACCCTTCCTCTCCTTCGAAATGTCCCTCTTAGAAGGGTGATTTGGCTGCCATCGCATAAACCATTTTTAATTATAAATGTATCAAAACATATTCAATCACACACAAGAAGGTGGGCATTAATAAAAATAACAAACTCAGTATAATCCCACAAGTAGGATCTGGGGAGGGTAGTGTGTACGCAGACCTTACCCTTACCTTAAAGGTAGAGAGGTTGTTTCTCATAGACCCCCGACTCAGGAAAGATGAAAAGAAAGCAAAGGTGGACATCAACACACTAATATTTTAAGGGGAGAACTCTATACATATTCGTTCATATTGCATCTCATATAAGCTGAAGTTAGCTCAAGCAGTGAAAAATACAACAGTAAACTTTACTTGACCACCTAACCTACCTTAGGCTGTCTGGAATAATAGATGATACAGAACATAATGATGCTAACATTACAAGTTATCATCATTCAGATCATTGGAACTGTTCCTAAATCAGGTAACAAGAAATTAACTACACATTAGTTGGGTTTTCCGGTATCATATTTTCAACCAGCTAAACTTCATTCCACTTCGAAGGCCATATTATAAGGTTACATCCGCCTTCTCGCCCGCCTAACAACAGGATTAACAGATTCCACTGCCACACCATCTGCAGCCAGATCCAGACCGAAGATGCTGCTGCTACTCCTTTTCTTGCTAGACATCAAACTTGCCTTCTGGTCGATTAATGCAACTGTTTCCAGCAGCTCTGACAACAGTGAGGGGCAACTCTCTTCTAAGTGCTTGAATCCTTCTGTCTGCATAACCACTGTTTAACAAAAAATAAAATAATTTAGCAATTACATGAAAATAGGCAGAGGACCCCACAATGTCTTGTGTGGGCTAGCATATGCTTTAAAATATAGTCAATGTTGTACAAAACCAAGAATCTGCAACTAAGTGGTGCATGCTCCTGTGCTAGTAATGGAAGCAAGATGACGGAGAAGTTTTTGACGTATCTCGAGGCTTCCCAGTTTTCTAATATCACCCTAATTGTTTATAGAATCATAAACATAATGGATTGATACGAACTTACATTCATGAAACAATTAGTTCAACGACTCAAATTCCAAATTCTGTTGATCCATAATTCTCCTAGTTATACACCACATTCAGCACCATATTGCAATAAAGCCCCTTGCGTCTAAAGTTTTGAACACCAGAATATTTACCGACATACATGTACCCAAACAAATAGAAGTTACATTATCTCCCATCATTTGCTGTAAAGCATGCATCGTAAACATAGAAGCCAGCCCTTTTCCATGGTTAAAAGCAGGGGCGTATTCACATGGTGGCAAGCGGTGTCACAGGACACCGCTTCGTCGAAATTTTTTACTATTTATATATATAAAAATAATAAGTAGAACAGAAATACAAGATAAAACTATTAAAAGTGACACCACTTGCAACAAAACATCTCAGTAGTCTAGTGGTTGTTATAAGCTTCAAGTATTATGTGAGAGGTCTTGGGTTCGAACTCCCTTGGCTCTGCAAAATATTTTTTGACTGTTACGGCCCTTTTACTAGAAATAGTGACACCACTTATGAAAAATCATGCGTACGCCACTGGTTAAAAGCCACTATGCATGAAAAGGAAAGCTACTTTATCATTATTGATTTACCAAATATCGAATATAACATTCCCGTTCATGTTGTCTATATAATGAAATGGCACGAGATTATTGCTACTCTACCCATTATTTGAAACTTTGCATGAACCGGCAGACTTTCTCTAATATTACACATTGTATCACTTCATGTTTCCTTTTGTCGATTGAAATTGAGGATCCACATCTAAGCAAAATGGGCATCAGAGACTCAATGTCGTAAGTCACAGCATAAGCAAAACCCACCACCTGTCAAATCTGAATGTTCTTTCAACGTACAATTTTTGGTTTAAGTATTTTGTTTCCAAGGGATGATAACTAAAGAAGCCAAAACCACTCAAATATTCTCTTATGTTTTCCAAGCTAGGCATCAACTAACTGATCGGGAAGCCCAGATCAAATAATAGGAGTTGCTTTGCGCAAGGAACCTCACTTGAGATACTCCACCAGCATCTCTAAAGTGCATTTTGACTAAGGTCGAAAAACAAACTGCCTCAATGATACACCAATAAGATACCCATCTCTATAAACTTGAACCAAGTTAGAGCAAAAATCACCCATTCATAAAAGAACTAGGACCTTATCATAGTAGCTCAAGAGACTATCATCATAAAGTGGAAAACTACCATAAGATTTTTTTTTCCTGGCTTTACATTTAAGCTGGAAGATATAAATTTGCCATACGAACTGACATAAACAAGCAGAGTTAAAGAACATGTCTGCAGTTAAATTAACTAAGAAAAACTAAAAATGACATGACCTGAAATACCTCACCGCTCACATCTATGGAGTACACGCACCTCCCAGGTTTGTTGCTGCAAATTTCAAACAGATGGCCTTGAGCTGTGGGCAACAATGCAGCTCAGCAAGGGAAAGAGTTGTTGCCACTGTATCCACATTAACTTCTTCACACAATTTCACCTCACATAACTCTTTCAACCTATCTAAACCAAAGCGATCAGCTGCTGCCAATAGATGCTGCATCATTATCGTAGAAGTGCATGTTGAAGTAGAGCCAGTAATTTCACCTAAATCTGGAAGCTCATCAGAATAAATGTACTGGAGCATAGCCTACAAAACGAAAAGAAGTCCACCTAGATCATCTCAGCTTCTAAGAAAGGACTGCAAGGTTGGGGCAAGTTACATGTAAATTTTTTATATTGAAAACTACAGACAACCAACATGGAGAGAAACACAAGTTGGAGAAGCTAAGGTGCAAGACCATGACCATAGAACAAGAAGAGTCAGACTAAAACTTAAGGGGATGAGACTACTCAGCTAAATACTTGCTAGCTTTATATTTTTCTATGCCCTTTGTAAACAGACGCACAGAATAAGCTCAGCATACCAAAGGACTATCTAAAACATAGTGATACCAACTAAGTCAAAGATGGTAAATTTATAGAAAATGCTTAGCTCGCACAAACATTAGTGTTCTAACAAATTCCAATCAAAATCTCAGCCTACGCATCATATTGCTACATGCTGATTCAGAAAATGAATGCCAAAAGTACTACAAGCTAACGTTTGAGAAGGAACAACGAAATATATTATAAACCAGTTGCTTCCATCCCCACCCACCTTGTCCCCCTAAAAGAAAAATCCTTAAACAGTTGAACCTCAAACGAAAAGGCCTTTCATCTTTCAAATTCTCCATCTTTTACCTTCCTTTAATTATATATGTTTCTTCATACAGCAGAAGAATCATGCGTATTAAAGCACGAACTAATTACCTTGAAGATTGAGGGTTCAATATCCTCAAGTTCTACTTTGTCTGTATTAGGATTCCCAATAAGGCCAAAGAATTGGGCTCTAAACACAGGAGACCGAGCAGCAAGTATCAACTTATGACCCTTAAATGTCTCTTCTCCAACCTGGAAAACTATGTCACAACCAAGTTCAGCATCCAACAAGTATTTGAGATTTTGGCCCATGTCTGATGGTGGAACTACAACACTATAATCTTTGGGCCCTTCAACGCGACTTCTGACAACTCCAACGGTACAGTGCATGGCAAGGCAATCATCCTTCAGGTAGTCAGAAGTTTCTAAATTTATTCTTTTGAAAAATCGTTTGTAACCCCTGTAAATACAGACAAGAAGTTCTGATGATGAACAGTAAAATAAAATGTTCTAAATGTATTTCAACAGCTCAGATTGAAAAGCTAATACAGTTTTCCAACTAGAAATTCGGCGAACTTTCTTGAGTTTTATCTAAGACCCACTTGTTACAGAGTGTACTCACAATATGTCAGCATTATCATATTTTACAAAAGAAAGTACACCAGGCGCAAACGAACAATTTCTTCCACTGAGGCACAGAGCATAAAGGGCTACTAGCGACAAATAAATGGTGGATTCATCACTAAACAATTATTTGGAAGTAACACAATGGAGAGAAGATGAGGTCACTCATGTAGCTGATCACCAAACACAGGAGAGTCAGTTATCTAAGCAATCATTGAGTTTTTATGAATAAAACTAGACAAATGGATCTTTCAATATGTTCTCATCATCATCAACAACAAGTATGCTCAGTCCCAAACAAGTTGGGGTCCACTATATGAATCATCACCGACCATGTTACTCCAGTTAAACTTCGGTATGTTCTCATAATCTACCTATTTAATTCAATCCCAACTACAATGCTCAATGTGAGTCAGTAGGTTTAACAAGAACTTGTGGTTCTGGGCTATGCATATTAGTGACACCATGTCGTAAATAAAGAAATAATAAATAACCTAGTCTTAACACTTCAACGGCATCAAAGACTTTTCCTTTTTTGTATAAAAGTACCATAGACGTATTTTACCTAACCCAGTGTAAAGGTTTGGACGGTACATGCATCATCATAAACTCAAGAATGCACTCCCCAATATCTGGCACCCAAATCAATACATTTACGCACATTGAACATAGAGATAACCGTAACAGCCAGAAGAGAGAAAAACGACAAAGATTTCAGAAACACAGTGGCCTGAAGTTTGAACTACAAGAACTGGACTTCAGGATACAATCTTGACATTTGAATAAGCAGGTATCTACCGCTCTTTTTAAATTGTGTTTCAAAGACATTGCAATGTCGGCTATGTTTTAAACAACAGCACAAAATAGCTACTGGTGCACTTACAAGTAAATGTATTTTCCAAGTTAGCTGATATTTAGAAAAAAGATTGTGACCATTCTCACGTCAACGACAAGCGCTGAGATCAAAAATTGACATTATTACGAGGGACAAAAGATCAAATTCAGTAAAGCACCGTAGTTAAACAATTTTTACACCAACAGTGAATCTACAACCCTCCTAGTTTTTTTTTTAAAAATAATCGTGGTGTCCGGCCAGCTTGCGCGCAACTCGACTAATTCTACGAGATATCTGCCACTTCCAGCCAGCAACATGTACCAAGTAACTCTCTCCACTAATGCTTGGAGAGATAGGAAAAAATCACCTAGTGTTTATTAACTCCGTTGAGATTTGAACCTGAGACCTCAGGGTTCCCACCACCCACTTCATTGACGACTAGGCCATACCCTTGGGTGCAACAACCTTCCTAGTTTATCCAGGCTTGAAACCAAATACAATTCAAAAACCTAATTACATACAATCAAAACCCCAACTGAAACATAAAATATTTTTCCAATCCAAAGCATATAGCTAATAGTTAACGAATTCTACCATATAAACATAAACATAAAACGTACCACATGCTCCCTCTATATTTCAAAGTATAAGGCCCGCTTTCCAATGCCCGATCAAAATGGCTATGAACTTTATGTTTCCCTTTACCACTTTGATCCAATAACGTCAACTCAAACAAGGCCCTAACATCAGTGCCTTCGCTAGCCAATGCAATAAAAACAGAAACATAAACAGAAGAATCCTCTATGTTTTTACCATCAGGGTAAAAATAAATGGCCCAATCATAACCACCCACGGTAAAAATGTCGCTTGATATATATTTACCAGGACCCATTCCTTTGGCCAGAGAATAACCCCTGATGGTAAAATGGTGAGACCCATTTACCGTTTCGTTTACTGATTTGGAGGAAGAATCGTTGTCGTGAGAATTTTGGATCATTTCATGGGAATTGAAAGTGAAATTGTAAGAAATTGAAGGAAAAGAAAACCTAGAAGGGAACTGGGGGTTAATTGGATGAGATTTGTGAGGACTTGGAAGGGGAAATTGAGGGGTGTTCTGGATTGAAAATTTGCAGAGTTGAAAGGAAAGGGGATAAAGGAAAAGATTACAAGTGAATTAATTTGGTTTGGGGGGTTATATGCTTTGGGATTTAGAGCCGGTTTAGCTTAGCTGATTTAGAATAGCTAACAAGTATTAGGTGTCGAAAAATACTTTTTAAGTGATGAACTGATTTAAAAAATAAACAGTTACGTGTTTGGATAAAAGTGCTGAAATTAATAATAAACAGCTGAAGAACTGGGTATATAAAGAGTTTTATTTTAAAAAGAAATATTTTAGGGATAGAATAGTAAATATTTTGGTCAAACTTAAAGTGCTTATAAGCTTAAATTTGATAAGTTGGGGAAGACCAGCTTTTGGCTTATTTTTGGCTTATAAGCACTTAACTTATAAGTACTTTTAATTTTACCAAACGCATAGATAAGCCAAAAAGTGTTTATAAGCCAGTTTGACCAGCTTATAAGCTTAGTCAAACACCCCCTTAGAAGTTTACGTTTTGTTAAGAAACAAAGAAAAAAGATAAAAAGAAAGGAAATAATCTATTCTGATGTGGCAGTTGGGTTGAAAGTCAAGTCGGAAAATCTCACTTTATGCCTATTAATTCCAAACTATTTACCCTTTAATATAGCGGCCCAAACTATTTACTACTCCTATCCATGCGCTCCAAAATATTTACCCACCTTTGTTATGTTTCTCTTCTTCTTCTTCCTCATTTTACCTTCCTCCAATTCTTTACTTGGCTCTCCATCCATCAATTCTCGTTGGCTCAGTAAAGTTAAAATTCTCGTTGGCTCACCCCATTCTATTTACCCAAGACTTGTCCTAAAGTTGAAATTCTCGTTGGCTCAGTAACCTCCCAAATGTTCAAAGATGCCCCTACCTCTGGCCCTACCACTATTCGCCTCTTCTTTCATGTTGCTTTGTTGAAGTGGTGCTATTATTTTGAAGATTTATTGTTTGATTCGGTGTGGTGGTATAAAATATTGCTTATAGTATCTTCGAGTAAGCTTCCAAGATCTAAATTTTTATGTGTATTTGAATATCCACCATTGTTGGGCTTGAAGCTCAATTTTATTTTTGAAGATTTCTTGTTTGATTCTAAGTGGGTACTATTAAATATTGCTTATAGTATCTTCGAGTAAGCTTCCAAGATCTAAATTTTTATGTGTATTTGAATATCCACCATTGTTGGGCTTGAAGCTCAATTTTATTTTTGAAGATTTCTTGTTTGATTCTAAGTGGGTACTATTAAATATTGCTTATAGTGCCTTCTGGGAGTTCATAGTGAAATTTGATAGCATTTGGAGCTGATTTTAGGTGATTGAGATCGAAATTTTCAGTTGAAAATCGAATAAGAACACATCTAAAGTATACCGCTACGGTATACAATATGTTTTCGGAGCATATAGCTATATTGCAATAGTATACTATTATAGTTTACAATATACTGCAACGGTATATTATAATAATCGAAGAAGAATACAGTTACGTAACAGTATACCGCTATAGTATACTGTAATAATATGTTGTAATAGTGTACAATATACTATAATAGTATACTTATTACCCGTAAATTCACTTGCCTTTTCCCTTTTAATTTGCTTTAAGCTTTTACCCAACGTGAGGGGCAAATTGAAAATGCAAAAATAAAATAAAATATTATAGTATGCTATATAATGTAATGGTATACTCTTACAATTAGATCCTTTTAGAATTTTTTGAAAGTTTTATTGACAATTGATATTATTTCAGTTTAATAATTGAATTAAATTTTTTAAACTTTTTGCGTACAATTGTATACCCTGTTGATATAACTATATAATATACTGGTATCATATGTTAGTTAATATTTTTAGGTTGTATTAGCTATATTTAATTGGTACACAATTTGATTTTTCTTTAGTAATAATATAAAAATAATAATAATAAAAAATGAAATTAGATTATGAAGAGAAAAAGAATATAAAAAGAAAGAAGTTAAATGAAATTAAAAAAGGAAAAAGAAAAAAATAAGAAGAAAACGAGAAAAAAGAAAAGGAGAAAAGGAGAAAAGAAAAAAAAAGAAAAAAGAAAAGAAAAGAAGCATAGAAATAAAAATGAATTGGAGAATAAATAAAAAATTCCCCACAAAACTTAATATGGGTAGAAAATGTAATTAGTTTATGGGTAGAAAAATAAATGGGTAGACAAGGATAAATAGTTTTGTTTTTGTGGGTAATTGTGTCAGAACCCCCTAATATTTTGGGCTGATTTTTGAGTAGTAATATGAGACAACTAGGCCGACATAAAGGTAAAAATTGCACGGGCATCCTATTTGGTCGCCTTCATTTAACTTATACTCACTTTTTAAAAAAGTTTTAACTTTTACACACTGTTTAAACAATTTCAGGCCTCTTTCTCCTCCTCCTTCATTTTCTAAATGCTGAAGATTGAGATATTGTTATGTGTTCTAGCCTAATGATTCATATATACCTACTTGTCCCATTATGTGTGTGTGAGAGAGAGAGAGATAACAACTTATATTTGCTATTTTAGCTCTTTACAACTATGAATTAGCTTTTGGACCGTCCAGTTCGAAAGTTCTAATTTTAATTACTACTGAAACATGAAAGCACAACTTGATTCCCTGCGCATTAGGTGAAAATGTTACCTTTACTAATGGTCTTGTTTTATAGGAGTATTGGTTTTCAAATTTTCTGATAATTCCATTATTCTAAAGGCTAAAATATACAATAAATAGTAGTTAGCAACTGAATCTTAATGACAACTTGTCATTGTTGTTTTAGAATTTCAGCTTTAGGAATGCTGAAGTTCAGCAAATATAAACAAAAAGTTCAGCTTCTAGAATGCTGAAGTTAAGCAAATACAAAACAAACTTCAGCCTTGAAGTTCATCACAAACATAACAAAGTTTCAACTAAAACATGCTGAAGTTCAGCAAATATAGAACAAAACTTCAGCTAAAACATGCTGAAGTTCAGCAAATAGAGAACAAAACTTCAGCTACTAGATGCTTAAGTTCAGCAATGACAAACAAAAATTTCAGCCAACACTTGGTTCAACAATTTTTGCTACTTCAGGCCTGTATGCCTGAAGTTACACGAAAAGTGAGTACACTTGCAATTTTTTTTACACAGCGAGTATAAGTTAAAACGTGGCCCAAAAAGTGAGTATAGATACAAATGCCCCAAGATAAAGTTGGTCCAAGCCCAATTAAATTTGTTAAAGAGAATTTACATCACATAAAGATTTAGGAACACTATTTATATTTTTATAGATACTTTCAAATAATTACCCACTTTAACAATATTTCTATGGGAGAAGATAATAAAAAAGAGAGAACCATTATAATTTCAAAAAATTGAGTTTTGTCTGAGGTTGTATTTATTATGTGAAGATCTTGTTGTTATGTTTTGAAAGAACAATTACAGTATTTTTGTAACTAGGGGGTCTAATTAATACTATATCTTTTTAGATTTTCCTTTACTAACATACTGAGTCAAACTAGTCCATGTGAATTTAACAATAGTGAGATGAATCGAGGCTAATTTAGGGTGTGTTTAGTATGACGGAAAATGTTTTCCGTGGAAAAATTTTCTTAGAAAACAAGTAGTAATCTTATTCATTTTCCGGTGTTTTGTACGCAAATTAAGGAAAATGACTTTTCAAGAGTATTTATAAATAATTTAGATATAATAAACATGAAGCTATAAACTTTCAAACCAACAACCTTTCGAATCCACAAATTTCATAAACTTTCGAAATTGCGAAATTTCGAACCCGTAAACTTCCAAACACGTAAACCTCCGAACTTGTAAAATTTTGAACCTTCAAATCGATAAATAAAAAAAAACTAAAACTGAAAAATATTTTTTTCGGGGGGATGAGAAAAGCAAAAATTTGAAATTACAAAAAGAAAGTTTAATTCTTTTTTGTGGAGAGGGGAGGGTGGTGCAGAAAAACGAAAAACAGAANCCGTGGAAAAATTTTCTTAGAAAACAAGTAGTAATCTTATTCATTTTCCGGTGTTTTGTACGCAAATTAAGGAAAATGACTTTTCAAGAGTATTTATAAATAATTTAGATATAATAAACATGAAGCTATAAACTTTCAAACCAACAACCTTTCGAATCCACAAATTTCATAAACTTTCGAAATTGCGAAATTTCGAACCCGTAAACTTCCAAACACGTAAACCTCCGAACTTGTAAAATTTTGAACCTTCAAATCGATAAATAAAAAAAAACTAAAACTGAAAAATATTTTTTTCGGGGGGATGAGAAAAGCAAAAATTTGAAATTACAAAAAGAAAGTTTAATTCTTTTTTGTGGAGGGTGGAGGGTAGTAGGGTGGATGATAACAGAAAAAAGTGAAATTTAGTTACCTTACAAGTCACACATGTACAAAATCAGATAATTTCACCAAAACTTACGAATATTAGAATAAATTAGCTAGTTTTTGTTTTTATTTCTACTCGAAGTTGGATTCTGGTCGCCCAAGGTCTTTCTCACTTCATTGATTGTTATTGTCATATCCAAATGTAGGCTATAATGAGTATCGCCAAACAGAATGACAATTTTTTATTTATTTTATTCTTAATAATATGCTTTTACAGCTATAAAATATATCTAAAATACCAGTTCCAAATATTGTTTTTCTTTCCTAAACTCTATCTAGTCAAACAATGCTACAAACAACACAATTAATTAAGAATTAAAGTAATACTTTATACAAGGATTTTTTTTCCCCTTGTGCTGGAGCCTTTGAGCTAAACAACACGACAGAAGTGTCAAGCTCAACAAATTGATTAAGAATTTATTAGAGAAAAGGACAGAATTAATTAAGTTAATTAAATTATTGGATGGTCGGGGGTTTCCATAAAAAACATAATCGATGATTTTAAGCACATGGAGCTAGATCCTAGGTGTCCTTGAGAACTGAATCAGCTAAAACACGTCAGGAACTTAAACACAATTGCACGTGTCAAGATGTCCCATTCTGCTGATCATCTTGTACGTAAGTTTATACTCCTATTTTCACTATCAAATTAGTAAATAA